CAGCCCTAGTCTGCACCATCATGGGTCAAGATTTACAAAAAAAAAGCAGACTGAAAATCTCACCATCTCCTCTTTTGCACAATTCAGAACTTTTTATCGACCATCATACATATCTTGTCGATAATATCAATGCATAATGTTTATATGTCATATGCCTGAGTGTGAAGTTAACTGTTTCTTGTCCTGATGCATCTCAGTAATCCAGGTAGAAAAAAAAATCAAAAAGGAAAAATAAGTAGGTCCTCTGGATGGGTTCTTCTTTAGTGAAACGTTTCGTCTCTCCTCCAAGAGACTTCTTCAGTCTGATGAGTTTCAGGTGAACTCAGCCTTATAAGCACTGCCTCCACATGGACAAACAGGTTAGTCACATGCAAAAGAGGGCTAATGCCTAACAATAGCTCTATTTAGTCACATGTAAAAGAGGGCCATCACAGGGGGCAAAAGGTATGAATCAAGGCCCCAATGATACCAACACAAAGAGGGAAAGAGGGACAAAAACAAGGGGACTTTGAGCCCCGCCTGCATTCACTACATACACATAACACAACACGGGTCAGATGATGGGGCACATGACCCTCTATGAACAATAGAACTAATCAAGCCTATTGTTAGTCGATGGCCCTCTTTGCATGTGACTAACCTGTTTGTCCATGTGGAGGCAGTGCTTATAAGGCTGAGTTCACCTGAAACTCATCAGACTGAAGAAGTCTCTTGGAGGAGACATGAAATGTTTCACTAAAGAAGAACCCATCCGGAGGACCTACTTATTTTTTCTGTTTGATATTTTTTTTAAACCACATGTCATTTTTTAACAGGACTACCTAAATATTCCCAAATCATTTTAAAAATCATAAATTTCCATACCTTTTCAGTTGGAATGCAAACATTTGAGTCTTAAGTTTCATCATTACGTTCGAATTCAAAAAGGATATTTTTTACATTCATGTCTTCCAGTTGCTGTTTTTGCWAAACAAACTATCCAAAGATTTTCGACATTTAATAATTTAAAAGATATTTCTGAACAAAGCTGGAACAAGTGCTGTTTTGCTGATTTTTTTTTCTTCCAGCTGAAAAAATAAACAGAATTTGTGTGTTTTATTATAAATGACATGTGGCCTGATCAGTGCCGTGGAAATGAAATGCTGAGGTTGTCGTTTCCAGCGAAGAGACATTAAATAAAAAAAAGCCAAATCTTTGTATAAGTTAGCTCTCAGTGGTGACTCTGAAGAAGAACAACCTCTCTGTGACCTGATGATCTTTTAAACGTGAATCTGAATGTAAAATGATGCTTCAKTTTGCTTTTCTAACCAGTATCAGGCTGGACTGCAACTGATTTGAAGATAAAACCTGCAGCAAGAAACAAAACGTGATGCTTCTTCACATTCCTCTTCCTGTCAGTTTGTACCTGTAGAAAACTTGTTTTAGCTCAGATGAAACCAACATGGCAGCAGGTCTGAGGTGTGTTCGCTGGATGTTAACATGGTGTAACCAATGGCAGTACTTCTCTATATTTTTGTGCACATTTTATTTTGATTTTTGTGAACAAAACTGTTTTTTTAAAATTTGTTTTAAATATTGTTCTAATAAAATAAGCAACTAAGACGTGTTTATTTTATTTGTTAGAGCAGGAAATCTTCTGCTCATTCCAGATTTAGTTAATAACTGGATATTGCATATATGATCGCTGCAGGTACGCAAAGCACCAATGCACCAGAACGGATCTATTGTTTTGGGTGGGCACGATGGCTTGCCCTTCATAAAAAAATCTGAAGCTTCTATGTTGAATAGTTTTTGAGTTATAACCATTTTTATATGTGCAGACACCCCCTTTTTTTTAGATGGAGCCCCCTCCTCAAATATGGGGTCTATTGTAAAACCGCTGGCTGGCTCAGTGTAGGTCGGACACATTTATTTTCCTGCCAAATTTCACGTCGATCRGTGCAGCCGKGATATGGTTAATCAAATATCACAAAAAATAAAAGAAATGTACAAAAACACACGCAGGGGTCATAATAAATCTGATTYATCCATGTCTTTTGATTCATTGATTCTTTATTGATCCCTGGGGAAATTTAAGACGTCCAGCAACTGTGCATTGACAATAAAAATCAAAGACTAAAATATGCACGAACAAATTAAATTGGACGTTGATTTGTGTGCTGTTTGTTAATCGAGATGAATCCCTGGAACATTTTTAATTAATGTCAATATTCACAACGTTTTTGGACATAAATTAGAAACTGGATTAATTTTTTTCTTTGATGACATTTTATTTTATGAGGATAACTGAAGTTCTACCTTCTCTGATGTAGTCGTACTTATAGCAAAATATCATATTTCTATATTTATTGTAAGTGGAGAGATAATAAACCGTCTATTCCCTCCTTAATGAACAAATTTAAATCCTATTATTAATTAAATACATTAATGAAAAAACAGCTCTAATAACCACATCGCTGCATATTTACTGTTTTTAAATTTCTCACTGTGCTCATTTTACTTACTTTGCCTCTTAACATGTAGTTTGTAGTTATGATACCCTTCATAAGAGTTTGTATATTCTGTTTTATGTTGTTAATAAATTTTAAAAAACTAACACTGTTTTTATGCAGCACATCTTTCCAAAAGAAAGACAAACTCGTCGGCTCATAAACTGTATTTATTACATTTTACCACAATACAAACATTAAAATTCACCAACATCTTTGTTYTTTACAGTCTTCTACAAAAAAGTATGTACAATTTATTATTAACAGGCTTTAAATATGTACAACTTGAGTTTTGTTTGTTAGCATTTATGTTTGTTTTTTTTGTTTTTTTTGTGTTGGGCGGCCAAAAACTGCATCAAATGTTTCCGCTTCTGTTTGAAGATCAAATCTTTTAGAGTGGATTCTCATTAGCTGCTGTTTGACATTAAGAGCTACAGGTTTGATCAAATGCTGAAGCTTCATTATATTAAATAAATATTTCAGTTTTAAAACTTCATACATGTGCTCGTTTCCACACTTTCTGGGTTAAGACTTTTATCACATTGTAAAAAAAAATGGGAGTAAAACACATTAATGTGCAAAACCTGAAAGATTTTCTAGTACTTTATCCTTCATGTAAGACGTGTCAGTCCACTGAAAGCAATACGTGATATTCTTACAAATTCACATAAACAAAAGGGTTTAGGGTCACATCATTACATCAAGTTCCTTTAGTTTGGGTGAATTAGTTCAGAATATATTAAATGTAATAAATTTAAAGTACCTCCTCTGTGTGTTCATACATGAATTGGACTGATTGTTTATTACCTGGAAAAGAGGTAGAAAATCGCTGCTCAATAAATAAAAAGGTTAAAGTGCTTAAAGTGTCTGTGACATGCATCTCCTTCAAAATATACATCAAAGAAAACATCTTTACATTAAAAAAATTGGAATAATCCACGTGATTTTACCCATTTTGTTTCATAACCACATTTCCTTTTGAACTTGGCTCAAAGTGAAACAGGAAGTGACATCAAAGGGGAACTCTTTAAGAAAGAAAACTTCCTGGTCTTTATTTCTTAAAACAATATCTGAACTCTGATCTCTCTGATTTAGACTCAAAATAATCTAAAGGAACATCAGATTCTTCTCTACAGCCTGTGTTGTTAGCTCTGTTTACATTCAGACGTTCCCCTCTGACATCACTTCCTGTYACTTTACACACAAATATCTCAACAACTGTTCATCTCAGYGAAGTGAAATTGGTTTTGCAATATATTATCAATGTCATCTTTCCAAAAATGCGTTCATATTTGTTACAAAAATTTGATGTCACAGGTACTTTAAAACACGTTTAATGTTCAGAGGGTTTCTATTAAATCAGTCAATCATTGGTCGTCCTGTTAAAAGGTTCTTGAGGGTTTTTTCTTCTTGTGTTTTAATTGAAAGGTTATATGTTTGCTGTACAGCCTGKAAAGAGCGTGTATGGTAACTACAGCGTGTAATTCTGGGTTACAAAACAAAAACTGGTGTGACTCTGGACTATAAACACGAACACGTGTTGTTCTGATGAGCCGAGGTCCAAATCAAACGGATGGTTGTGTTGAGTGGAGCTGTGGAGAACCTCTGCTCAGAGCTCAAAGTCTCCGTCCGTAGAATCAGATTAAAGTTTGCGTTGTGGGCGGGGGCTCCAGTTTCCTYGACAACGCGGTCAATATGAGGTTGAATTTACTGAAGCGATCCGATTGGTTGACCGCGGCTCCGCGACTTCCCCACAGCAGCCGCAGCTGGAAGTCTGTTTTAAACACCTCCATCAAATCCTCGTCACACTGAAACCCTAAAGAAAAACAAAAASGTGCAGATGTATTTGATGACACTAGAATCAGGGGCGGAGCCAGTGGGTGGCCAGGGCCACCACAGACAAATCTTTGGCCACCCTGCTGTACACACCCCTTAAGGGCTCGACACACAGGAGGCGACGTCGCTCGCTCTCCATTCATTTCCTATGGAGCCTGTGCGGTGAGGCGACAGTCGCTCGCCCTCCTCCAGCTAAGCGACCGGCAAAAATAGTGCATGTGAAATTCCGCGCTCGTACACGTAGACGTGCACACGCGAGCTTGCGACGCGACATATGAAAGTTGAAAAATGTTCAACTTTTGTCGCTGTCGCTTAGC